CAGGGACTAGCCAAAGCAGGGTTTGGCCTAGTCCTGTGGGTCTAGAACTTGTGTCGCACCACCCACCAGTCTGCCCCCTAGTAATGGGGGGACTTTGGTGGCGAAGGGAAGGCCGGCCTGACAGGGCTAAGGACGTCTGAGGGGACCGCCCCACAGGGTTTTGTGTTCATGGGTCTGGAGTGGAATCTGGGAACCTACATTCTGACAAGTCCACAGGTGATGAGGATGCCACTGGCCCAGCACCCCAGACTTTGAGAACCTCTGTCCTGGAGCCACAGGTGCTCTGGGTGCTGTCAGATCACGTGCCTGGGAGCATGCCTGCGATTTGGTAGGCCTGAAGGCTCACTTACTGTGGGGCTTGGACAGCTCAGCTTCTCTCTTCTGTAAAATGAACCAGTGAAGCCAGTTCTGGAAGGACCTTGGTTTAGCGACAAAGTGATACATCTCCACTTAGGAGTTTTTGTTGATATTAATAAGTGAAATAGTTCAGTAAGGCACAGGGGAGAGGGATTACAAAATCTCCCCGTGGATTTCCTGGGAGGTGGTACTTCAAGATCTTGGTAGTCTGAAAGCTGGTTGTCTTGGCACACATGGCAGCATTCCTGTGCTCCCCTAACTGGTTTATAAGAAACAAGTTTTGCAACCAGACTGACCTGGGATCCGAGCCCTGACTTCACAGCCCCACATCCCAGCTGCCTTCGGCGACTGACTCGGTCACTCTGGGTCCCTTTCTTTTGCACAGCAAGGATGATTCCTGCTTCGGCAGGGCTGTGAGGCCCATCAGAAAGTCCTGGAGGACACAGCTCATGTGCCTGGCACACAGTAGGTGCTCAGCCCGTGGCTTCCCTTAATTTTGCTACCTTTGTCCTTCCTCTTTTTAAATGATCTCTCTGTCACTTGTGGGTACATGACCATCACTCTCTAAGCTCTCCCAGCACTCAGGGGTCTCTCAGAGAACCAAGCAAGTACATGGATCCTTCAGAAGGACTTCAGGTGGCCTGTGGCTGCCTCAGCTGACTGAGCTTGTCTAGGCTGAGGGTCTGACGTGGTTTGTGCCACGCCTGAATCTAGCTCTGACACGCGCCTGCAGAAAAGGACTGGAATCATAGGCTCAGAGAGCACTGGACTCATCCTGTGCATTTTATTGATCATCTAATACATCCTAGGCAGGGGCTACAGTGCTTTCTTTGTTATTTTTGTTTGTTTGTTTGTTTTTATTTTTTTTTAAAGATTTATTTATACAAGAACCGGGGTACAGGCCAGATTCGCAGGAGGGTGAGAGGATTCTCCAGAGCCAGAGCGGGGAACAGAACAGGCAGACTGACGAAATACACTGCTGAGGGGAGCAGCAGGTGCGGCAGGAGAGGTCTGTCGCACCTGCAGTGCTTTCTTTGTTCGCTTCTTCACTCAGCGCTATACGTGGTGCTCACTATGGACCAGCATGGGGGGTGCAGAGGTGAGTTGAACAAGAAGTCCCTTGGATGCCGTGACCGTGTCCCAGAGTCTGCTTGTAAGAAATGGTGACAGGGCCTCCACAGTGGCACAGCGGTTGAGCACTGGGCTGCGAAGCTGCCCCGCAGCTTCGGCAGCGCCAGTTTGATCCCCGGCTGCTGGTGAGGGTCCCACATGGTGCACAGACCTCTCCTGTCGCGCCCGCGGCTCCCCTCAGCAGTGTCCTCCATCTGTCTGCCTGTTCTGTTCCCCACTCTGGCTCTGGTGAATTCTCTCTCCCTCCTGCGCTTCTGACTGTACCCAGTGCTGTATAAATAAATAAATAAATCTTTCAAAAAAAAAAAAAAAAGAAATGATACTTCACACTGGGCTGGGGTGCTCTCTGCAGGCAGGCGTAGCCTGACGTCCCTCGACGTTGTGCTGTGATAGTGGTTTGTTGCTTTGAAATAAATTGTGACCCTCACCGAAGAGCTCTGTCGTAAGTGGAAAATGCTGTGGGGAGAATTCATATTTCTCTTTTTTGCCCGTGGTTTCTCCACAAAGACCTGACTCGGCCCACTTCGGGTTTGACCAGGAAGGTCCTCCTCTCCCTGTCTGCGGGGTGACTGCACCATACGGTCTCCTTCACATTCCCGCAAGCTCTGTGAGCTAACCAGGGCAAGACAAGATGCTGTAGAAAGCGTTTGCCACACCAGCCAGGGATGACCACTGGATGAGCCCCCTCACCCCGGGCTCGCCAACCAACCAGAAACAGCGCCAGCAGGGCGGTGCTGGCGAGACCGCGTCTGCGTGCTCCGTCTCCTGCTCCGGTTCCGTCTCCGAGCGCGCGCTCGGTTAATCCGCGTCTCAGCTGACTGTGTGGGGAGAAGCAGCGGTCACAGGGTTTGGTGCCATCTGCTGTTTCCAGGCTCCCACTGGGGGTCGCAAAGCACCTCTCCCGTCAGGGTACTGTGTTTGCCTTCGCACTAAACCAAGAGAGCAGTTCAGGCACCTTGCAGCATCCAAAATTGAGAAAATACTGCAATCATTTGAGGTGGGGGGGGGCCATGGAGCTGAGTTCCCAGGGGAACAGCCACTCCTGATGGGGTGCCGGGCCACGAGGAAGGCCTATGTCCTCTCTCCGCATCTCGGGGACCCACTGGTCGACACTGAAAATGAACCCCAGCTCGCAGGCCCAGCCGCGCCACTTAACCCCTGGCAGTGTCGCCCAGGAGCCCGCGCCTGATGCCGCTCTCGCCCGGTGTCTCTGAGGTGCCCGTTCTGACGCCAGAGTGAAGCAACGCAGGGACCGATCTCTCGGCCTCCCTTGGGGGTGCTCCCAGGGGACTGTGGGAGCTCTGCAAGTCAGGTCCTCCGCTCTCCCCCCCCAGTGTACCCCACATATGGATCCTCACACAGTAGCTGCTGGGCAGTTTTCCTTTTAGGGTTTCTTACCGAGGTGCCGAAGGTTCTGACCTACAGGACAATCCCTTCCTTATCTCTTTCCGCCCCACCTTGTGCCGACCCCTTCCCCCAACTCCTTGAGGAGCAAAGAGGCCCAAAGAGGCATGAGTGACATCTGAGGGTGACGTGGTCCTGGCTGGCAGGAGACTGAGGACTGGAGTCTGGCCTGATCCGCAGGGCTAGGTCAGCAGTGATGTGAACGTGCATTCCAGGGACTTCAGACCGAGGGGGCAGAACAGAAGCAGGAGGCCCCAAGGAGGTGCTCTGCTTCCCTGCCTTGCCAGCTGCCGTGCTCTCCTTGGCCAACAGGCCCCCATTGAGCTGCTGCTCGAGGGGGGGTGTGTGGGGGGGGGCCCCGAGGGGTGCCTGTCTCAAAGCCATTCATTTAATCCCCTTTGGAATCTGAGGTTATTTCCGAGCTTCTGTGTTGGGGGGGGGGTTGGGCAGCAGATCTCCCGCCCCGCCCGCCTTGGTTACCTGCAGCACCTGACCTGTGGTCAGACTCCTCGGAGCAGAGGGGTGCCAGAGCAGACCAGCAGTCAGGAGGAGATGAGGCAGGCTTCCCACACTTCCCACATCCACATCCGCCCTGCCAAGGCCCCTGGGGTATGCCTCACCCCCACGGCCGCAGGGTCTGGGCCCGCACGTGGAACATACTGTCTCGCGTGACTCGGGGGGGCCCGTGCCTAGCCCGCTTATTGGGCTGGTCGCCTGGACAGCCCGTGTCCTGCCCCGCGGGGAGGCAGGGAGCCCCGAGCCACTCACTCCTAGCTGGGTGTGGGGAAACCCACGCCGCATGTGAGCGTCCCAAGGCCAGCCCCGGCCTTTCCCGAGACAGTGCTGTCAGGCTACCAGTGCTCTGTCCTGCAGCTTCTGACTTCACCCTCACTGTTTTTCTTGCTGTCTTGAAATGCGCACCCCAGGATTTGAGGTCCTGGCTAGGTGGGCCCGAGGGAAACTGGTCTTGGGTGGGTGGCATTTACTTTGGAGACAAAGTTTTTTGTGGCCCCGCTACCGGCCTGCTGCAGTCCACGTTTCTGCTGACAGGCGCATCTCTGCGGGCCTCCGTCCTGCAGGCAGGCACGCTCGCCTTGCCACACCGTTGCCCTGCTGGGGCTGTCGGGCCTGGGTGCCCGCCTTCCCTGCTCTTGGCTCCAGGCGGGCTATGGGCTGGTGGGCCCACCCCCACCTCCGCCTCGCAGCAGGTGTACAGATTCCCCTGGGTGGCCAGCGGCGCCCTTGGCATTAACTTCCCTTCCAAACCTGTTGCGTCATTTTAAAAAGTGTCCCTGGGAAGTCTTGCCTTGGGATTTGAACCTCTCTGCCTCCATGCTCCCATTTCTTCCGTTTCCAGCTTTGGGTTTTAGGTGGCAAGTTTCAAGAATGGCACATTGTGGTGGTGGTTTCGAGCCCCTTCATAGTGACTTCTCTGGGCTACCTCATTCGGCTGAAACAGCCCTCTGTTGCGCCCCTGGGGGTCTCAGACCCGCGGGCCTCCGAACGCCTCTTAACACCTGCCTGTAACACCACCAGTGACCTTTGGCCACATTACCTAGTCACTCATTCAGGAAGCTGGGTCCATGCCAGCCTGGAGCTGCTTCGCTCAGCTCCGGAGGCGCATGTGTGGGGGTGGCCCTCCTAAAGTGTCTGAGCGCCAAGGAACTGCTTTCACCACAGCGGTCTTGTCACTCAGTAGCCCTTGGGGGCAGGGCAGTCTGCACATTATCAGAGTGTCACGCCTGAGCAGTTGCTGACCAGACAGCAGCTCGAGCCCAGGGGCTGGGGATGCACGCCCCCAGCGGCTCCCAGCTCCTGGAATGTGGCCAGTGAGGCTGAGGAATGGAAGTTTAAATTCCCATCATTTCAGTAGCCACATGTGACCTGGCAGCTCAGGGCCGGAGGAGGTTACAGGGCCGTGGAAGCTGTCGAGGACACACAGCTCACCCTGGAGGCGGGTGAGAACAGGGCTTGGCAAGAGGTGTCTGTTCAGTGACTGTTGGCTCCTTGGGTTTTCTTCATCTCGCTGTGCCTGCAGTGGTGGTGGAGCGCCTGTGGAATACGCGCCTCCTTCACCTTTGACCTCTCCGCTCTGTCTTGTGCTCCAGGTTGCTGCAGCGACTGGCCACACCGTCATGTTGGTGGACCAGTCGGAGGACATCCTGGTGAAATCCAAAAAGAACATTGAGGAAAGCCTGAGGAGAGTGGCCAAGAAGAAGTTCGCAGAAAACCCGAAGGTGATGTCCCGTCACCGAAGCCTGCAGCCCTCCGCGTCCCCTGCTCCCTGCACCTGGGTTGGAGGGCGAGCTGCGGCATCTCAGCGTCACTGGCTGGTTTTGATTTGTTTGTGTAAAACTCATTTCCCCACGACCTGTGACCAACGCGGTAACATCACCCCCGATCTTTCTGGCGTCCTTGACAGGAGAGGAGATGCAGAGAGCCGTGTAGCTGGGGTTTGAGGTTGAGAGGAAGTTCCTGCAGGTAGCGACCGGCCTGCCCGCCGGGAACGTGGGCGTGAAGAGCACAGGTCTGTCACAGCGCTGGGAGGGCGAGAAGCAGGAAGCCGCTTTGCACTTGCCTGTTAGCAGAGGCTGACAGTCAACACTGTTAGGACAGGGGTTTTTGATGGTGTAGATAATATCTTGCCTGTTTTTAAATGTGCTCTCTGGAGAGGAAAATAGACAGTGAATACTTCTCCCTTTGCCTCAGGAGGCGAGACACAAGAGCTTGAATTCCCGGAAGGTTGAGCCTGTGGCTTGCTGGCACTTTCTCACTGGGCCTTTGCGGTTAGTCGTGAACACGGGTCACCTTGCTTAACCTTGTCCTCCAGCACAGTGGCTCCAGCCTGATGTCCTCGGGGCCTGACCTGGTGGTGTCTGTTTATTCAGGCAGAGGGCGCCGCAGCTGGCTCCCCTGTGCTCTCTGCCTTGTCTCCACAGCGCCCTGCTCGTTGCCTTTTAACATTTTTCTCTTGTGCTGAATTATATATAACAAACATTTTACCATCTTTACCATTTCTAAGGGTGCAGTTCAGTAATTTTGGTTATATTCACACGACTGCACAACTTTCTTTTTCAAAGCAGCAATTCTGTCCCCCTGAAGCACTATCTCTCACCCCCAACCTCTGGTCACCTCTGGCCTGCTCTTCGTCTCCACACTGCTCTCCTAGCGGCTTCCTCGAAGCAGGGCCTACGCGCTGGCCCTCGTCCAGCTGGGTCTGGTCGGGTGGGCGGCGCCATCCCAGCGCCCCCCATGCAGCGTGTGAACCTCGTTCCTTATATGATGGAGGCGTGCCCTTTTGTGCTTTTTACCACACTGTTGGTTGCTGGGTTGCTTCCGCCTTTGCACTGTTGTGAGTGATGTGCACATGGCTGTGCTCTCTGCTCTAGTCTGTCGTTTCACTTCTCGCCAGTCGGTGCTAGGAGTGGAATTGCTGGGGCCCATGGCATTCCTTGAACTTTTTGGGGAACAAGAAACTGTATTCTACAAAGCCTGCAGTGGTTTACATTTCTACAAGCAATGTGTGGAGGCTTGACTTTCTCCACCTCTTTCCCCATGCCTGTTCCTTCCCCGTATCTAGCCATCTAGAAAAATTCAGAGGGCATTGCTGCCAACATTGAAGCTCACGCGCAGATTACTGCCTCCCCCGGCTGTTCCCATGTTCCTCTGGTCAGGGCCGCGATGTCAGGTGCGTCACCAGGGCCCCGGCAGGTGGCTTTCAGAGCCCAGGGCTGGCAGTTGGAGTCTACACCCAGATAACCTGATTTGTCACGTTTGCTGGCCAGCTCCTCCAGTGTCCCCTTTGGGCAGAGGCTCTGGGCCTTGCTTGGGAAGGGGGTGCTGCTCCTCGTGTCCTTCACCTCTGCATGCTGCTGGGCAGGCCTCCGTCAGCACATTGGCACAGGCTGCGCTTATTTGCTGAATGGCTGCTGGGCTCAGCAGCCTTGCCTGGCCCTGCCCTCTCAGCGCTCCTGGGCCTCCTGTGCCAGGCGTGAGTCAGCAAAGCGTCCGTGGACCAGCGGGGCTGAGCTGGACTTCCCCTGTCCTGGAAGGACAAGGTGTTGGCTTCATGGAAGCTGCCTGTGTGGCTGAGACAGACTGGCGGGCAAAGGAGCAGCATGCTCAGCAGGCCGAGAGCCGACAGGCCGCCCCCATGCGACCATGAGGGTGGCCCACAGCAGGCTGTTGACAGGCCAGGCCTGATGTCTGGATGCTGGGCGCCATGCAGTTGGCCCTGAGCAGCAGTGGAGAGACCTTGGTTTCTTAGGGCTTCAGGTACATTCAGGTAGCAGGCCAGGCCCTGCACCCTCTTCCCATCTCCCTGTGCACGCAGTGAGTGTGCCCTCCCTCTCCCCCACCCCAGGCTGGTGAGGAGTTCGTGGCGAAGACCCTAGGCAGCATCTCCACCAGCACGGACGCTGCGGCGGTTGTCCACAGCACGGACCTGGTGGTGGAGGCCATTGTGGAGAACCTGAAGCTGAAGAATGAGCTCTTCAAGAGGCTGGACAAGTTTGCTGCTGAGTACGTGACCCCTGGACGTCCTTGTCAGGCTGGGGCGGCCTCCCCGGGAAGAGTCTGATGCCGGGCACTCATCTTCCATGCCCCACAGCTGCCTCCGGAGATCTGCCACTGCTCCCTTCGGTCCCCGTCCTCAGTGCCAGTGTGCTTCCCGAGGCCTGACCTGATCTGGTCACCCGGTGTGGGGGGCGCTCTCAGTGGGGGGCAGTGCCTTCTCTGGCAGCAGCTGTGGGTGGGCCTGTCCTTGGTGCCCCTGGGAGCCTTGGTGTGATTGGAGGAAAGCCCCTCTGGCAGCCCCTGCCTGTTCCGAGCATCGTCTAAGCCTGGTGCTTGCAGTAGCGACAGCAAGGTGCTCTCCAGCCTCCCAGCGGGGCCTGCGCTGGGACTCTGCTGTGGGCCGCTGTGTTCTCGTGCACTGCACTTCTCAGCCCCTTTCCTCACATTCGCTCTTGGCTTTCAGCAGTCGCGGCGTAGTGGAGTCGGCTTTTCCTGTGGCCTAGCCATGCTGCACCCATCTCGGTTGGCATGAGCGTCAGAAGATCCTGTGACAAAGAAATCCTTAGGCAGCTACCAGTGACCTGTGACTAGTGGGGGGACACTCACATGGCAGCCTGCTACACAGAACTCGCAGAGCTTTCCAGCCTCTGTCTGGACAGCCCCTGCCCCTGAGGAGGGGGCGACCCGTCCTCCTGTCACCTGTCACCAGGCTGATACCCTCATATTGGGTTCGGTCCCCACGTGCGTGGGCTCCACCTACATTTAGGGGCTATGGAAACACTGTGAGGGATGCAGGAGCCCTCCTGTGGGTTGTGGGTTCCCGAGTAGGAAGGGCTGTGGGGAAAGTCCCCTCCGACCTTGGACAGGTGTGAGGCTTTTCTGGCCCTTATGTTCCTCATGGACAACTCCAGTTGAGGAATTGGGGTACATAACATCTGGTTTCGCCAGTGGCAGCTGCACACAGGGTGGTTCAGGACTCGTCCCGTGCATGTGTCCCGAGTGCCTGCTGCGTCAGGTGCGCGCTCGGCGCTCTCCCCTAACCTCAGTGCAACAGGTGGCCTGTGACAGGCAGCTGCACCGTGGGTGGCTGGTTCTCCGGCCTGCCGCCCTCCTCCCGCACGTTCCAGGTTTCATGTTAGATCAGCCCATTACAGCCAGGGTTTTTGGCATATGCCTTGAAGCAGTCACACGTTGCTCCCCGGCGTGTCCTTAGCATCAGACGCACCGGCTGTAACCGCAGGTGTGCGGCGCTGGTTACCGTCTCGGTCTGTGTGATCCAGAACAAAGTGGCCTAACGTGTCCCCGCCACTCAGCCACGTAGGGCTCTCCTGCCACATTCTGCCATTGGATCCACAGGCAGGAGGTGAGGCTTTGCTGCCTGCGTTTCAGGGAGAAACACAAGATGGCCCAGAGTCGGATGTGTCCAGGAGAGGAGGGTGGACTTGTCTGTGCTGGGGGGTGAGCTGTGCGCCGGCTCAGCCAGCTCATGGTGCTGGTGTGGTATTGTGAGGAGCCCCCCGTCCCTGGTTGGCTGGGAGGGGCTGTGCCGGAGAGCTGGGGGCCTGGATGGGGGTGGTCAGTGCCCCTGGCTTCCCCTTTTTGTGGGTAGTTCTTAATGTCCCATGAGAAGGCTCCACATTCCGAGTGTAACTCTCCGCTAGTCTATCACCCTTTGTTTGTAAGAGGACCCTGGGGCCTGGGGCTGGAAGTTCCGGTTCCACACTTGTTTCATGGAGGATCGTGATAATTTACGTATTTTCCACCACTGACCAGAAAGCCAGAAAACTAGAATTCTCACACTTGAGGGCCTCCCCGGTGGCGCAGCGGTTGAGCGCTGGGTTGCGAAGCTGCCCGCAGCCTCTGCGACGCCGGTTCAATCCCCGGCTACTCCCCGGCCACCGGAGGAGGGTCCCGCATGGCGCGCAGACCTCTCCTGCCGCCCGCTGCTCCCCTCAGCAGTGTCCTTCGGTCCTTCTGCCTGCTCTGCTCCCCGCTCTGGCTCTGGTGAATTCTCTCACCCTCCCGAGCTTCTGACTGTACCCAGTGCATGTATAAATAAATAAATCTTTAAAAAAAATTATTAAAAAAAAAAGAATTCTCACACTTGAAAACTTTCATATTTTTTAAAAGTAAAAGTCCCTCCATCTCACCATCAAGTTGGCACACTTGGCATTTGCCCAAGGAAGGTGGTGGTGGCCACCCTGACCTCCCTTCTGCCCTGGAGCCACCCCCCCACCCCCTGGCCTGTCTTTCACCTCATGCTTCTCTGCGTTCTTTCCGAGTGACTGGCTTCCTCTGCCCACTCGCTCTCCTTCCACCTGTCCCGTCTCAGTGCCCTAGTGTCATCTTGTTGCTGAGCAGGGATCTCCCCACCCTCATCAGAGGAGGCCCACCCCTTGGGCTATGCTGGGACCCACCTGTGGTTGAGTAGCTTTGGCTGCTTTGCGAGGTTTCTCCACAAGGTGGCGCTGCAGGAGAGCATAGAAGTCCTGCCTGTGGAAAAATTGGTGGGCCCAGCCTTTGACCCTGCTATTTACTGTGATCCTAAAAAGTAATTTTGCCTTAAGTCAGAATAGAGTTGTAATTATTACTGATTTTGTATTTATATACACAAGAAGATGGTGCTGCCTTTTTTGAGATGTTGTGAGCAGAATGCCTTGAGCTACATTCATGATACACGTGTGCCCCTTCTTCCCGGGACCTGCCTGTGTACCCTCCAACCTCTTCTGAACCATTTTCGTTTTCTTTTGTTTTCATTTTAATTCCAGTTCAATGGAAAAATAAGGCTTTCCACTTGAGAGGAAAGGCTCTTAGTTCCTGTGTATTACCAGAAGCTTCTTGTTGAGGATTCAGGTGTTTCTTTGCAGTTCCTTGTTTGCTGTGTGTCCAGGGTCCTTCCGGCATCCTTTCCTGTACTAGTTAGTCTCTGATTGCTGAGGCTTATTTTCTGTCTGAGGTTGTTGAAAAGTAGCTCATTCATCGTGAGTATTAACTAACACAATGGACAGGAGATACGTTGTTCCCTAAAATTAAGTTTGGTAAAGATTCAGTATGTCTTTGAAACAGGTAACTTAAATTAGTTAAATTAAAAATTTACAATTAAAATGAGCCAGGCCCCTTGCTTTCTGCCTCTGGTAGGACCATGCATCTTCCCGGAATGTCTTCTGGGGTGGGGCCCTGGAGGTGGGCCGTGACATTTATTTGCCCTGCCTCTGCCCGAGAGTGGTTCTGGCCATGTCCAAAGATGGGCTCGTCCTGACGTGCCTCACCTCTCTCTGCAGACACACCATTTTCGCCAGCAACACTTCCTCCCTGCAGATCACAAGCATTGCCAACGCCACCACCAGGCAGGACCGGTTTGCTGGGCTCCACTTCTTCAACCCTGTCCCCGTGATGAAGCTGGTCGAGGTCAGTGGGGGTCTGCTCGTGTGTGTCCACTTGTGGAGAGCTGCTGTATGCGTTGTCTGCTTGTCTGTGGTGTGTGCGCATCTACTGTGCCCATTGCCCGTCCCCGTCTGCATGTACTGTCTGCTTGCTCTGCCCACTCTCCATCTGCTTCTTCGCAGCCTGGCCCGCCTGGGCACTTGCGTTTCTCTGCTCAGAGTCTGTCCTTGCAGGCCCGAGGGAAAAGAGCACCTGGGAGCTAGGAAGGCTGTATGGTGAGTCTCCCTGGCCCTGCGCTGACCAGTGATGTCCAGAATCAGGACGCTGTTGTTGACTTGTTTGTGTAGCTGTCGGCATAAGGTGGTGAGGGCAGCGCTGGAGATCACTGCCTTGCGGACCCCAGAGAGGACAACCCCACATGTTGTGTGGGAGAGGCCAGTTTGCTTCAGGCATTAAAGGGCTGTGATTAGACACTCTGGCAGGACTGTACCACTTTGCCACGTGTAACAGGGCCAAACTACCATCCCCAGCTGAGGCACATCTCCTGTGTGGTGAGATCAGAGCTTTTAAAGCAGCTCCCCACAACCTTGACCTCCTGGCCACAAAGCCACCATGTGGAGGGGCGTGGCCAGGGTCACTGCCTGGGCCTTCCTGTCCAGGCTGCTTCTGCTGGCTTGCTTGGAGTCTTGGGTAGCGGGGGATGGAGTCAAAGTAGGCAATTTGCACATGAACTGTGGCAACTTGCCTTTTACAGGGGGCTAATTACAGGGTCTGGGGAGCAGCCGCTATTAAAGTAGCATTTGTTGTGAGGCTAAGGAGTTATTGCCGTGCGAAGTGTGGGGGACGTGGAGCCAGGCTGTCCTCGGGACCAGGCCGCCTGGGAAGGTGTAAGGGAGCTGTGCTTTTGCTGTGGCTTCTCCCTCGTTACCCCTCAACCCTACCCCGGCACAAACATTAGCTTCTAATTTAAGGATGACAGTATTTCTCTACCGTTTTCTCAAAGTGACGCCCTGACACAAGAATCTTGCGAGTATCTGTTCTGCTCAGCTTGCCCCAGCGACAAAGGTGTTGCTGAGGAAGTTGAGGAATGAAGGGCAGTACCTGGGGAGTGGAAGAAACAGCATTTACTCTTTTTTGTTTGTTTGTTTTTTTGTGGGATCCTCGCCGGCGGCTGGGTAACGAACCGGCGCTGCAGAGGCTGCGGGCAGCCTCGCAGTGCAGCGCTCAACCGCTGCGCCACCAGGGGAGGCCCAACAGCATTTACTCTTATGCAGAAAGAGCAAAGAGGTAGACTGGAGCGTTCCACATTGCGGTACTCAAAGGACTAATTAATTTTTATAGTTACTGTATCATTCATATGTGTATTTTGGAGATAAAGACATTCTGTGTAGATTGCCTTAAAATTCTAATAATATTTTTGACTGCTTTTATCTGATCATGTCCATCTTTGTCTTTGGTAACATAGCATTGTTTGTTACAGCTACTGCTTAGCAACTGTTAGCATTTTCTAGAAAATGTCCTTTGAACTTGTTCTTCTCTGTTTACTTTTTTTCCTTTAACTTTAGGCCTTTGTGTTGATGGTGAGCCCCAAAGTGAGTTGTCTCACAAGTGAACAGTTCTCTTGGGACTGGGTTTCTGTGTGCACGTGCACTTGTGTGTGTGTGTGTGTGTGTGTGCTTTTTTTCCAGACTGTTGGGAAGCAACATATGCAAGTAAATATCTCATTGGCATCTGTGGAATGAATGAACAGGTGTGCTTACAGGTATGCATGCCTCCTATTAAAAAACCTTGGCTATCAACTCCTTTGAGAAAGTACTTTTCATATGCCACGGTTAGCAGCCTTTGTCCCAGCTCCATCTCTCTGGTCCTGAAGCGTTTCCTCTTCTGAGCAGCGGAGCTGTTTGCCTGGTGCCTGCAGAGCAGCTCGGGCCCCTCTCAAGCCCTCAGCCCCATCTCCGTGGTGCTTCCCGGTCTGCCCTCCTTCCCGAGTGTCGAGTGTCCTTACATGCCCCACCCCCTCGCTGGGATCCCATTAAGGCCCTCATGATGGTAATTCTCTCCATTTAGATGGCACCTTTCATCCCTGCGCAGACAGCGCTCATTAAGCCCTCAGCCCTCTTACGGGGGTGGGGGGCGCTGTCAGCTTTCATTAGCCCATTTCACAGAAGACGGATGAGGCGTGGAGGCTGGAGGCTGATGTGACTTGCCTGAGCGCATATAAAGGGTGTGATGTAGAAGCCAAGCCTGTTTGCGTTGACTCTTGTCGAAGATCCTAAGGGGCATTTAAATTACATATATTTATATATAATTTAAGTTTGTGTCCGCCTGGTCTCTTAATTTCCAAAATCTAATTCCTGACTGGTGAATGCCCCCAGTGTTGGCTGAGGGCTGACTGCCAACTGGGGTGCTTGGAGCTGGGACAGCAAGCCTACTCTACACTGACACCCCCAGGAACCCCAGGGGTAGCCACAGTCTTCCCGGGGTGGTCTGGAAAGGAAAGGAAAGGAAAGGAAAGTTGTTGCTGGAAAGGAAAGCTGCCACTGTAGCCCAAGCCTGTCCTGAAGCGAGAGCTGCTGGCTTTGGGGTGCCAGTGAGGAGAGCGTGGGGGCTGGATGGGGAGACTCAGCTCATGAACCTGAGACCTTGTGACTCAGGGAGAGCCATTAACTTTCCTGGGTGCTTCTCTGTAGCCAGGGGAGTGGGCTGACCTGCGCACCCTCAGGTGGTGTTCACACCCCGCATACTGCCTCACCTTCCTGATGACGTCACAGCATCGGGGACACACCAGAGATCCTGGCATTTGCCAGTTGTGGAGAGAGTGATTTAGTGTCACGTGAATGTGAAGATACTGTCCAGGCCAGAGAGCCAGTGAATGGTGTGACGGGGACTCAGACTCTGTCTCTGTCAGGGACAGAGCCTTAATGCCCCCTCAGATGCATGGGTATATGCTGCCAGCCCTGATTTGGGGCATCTGTCATATGTACTGTCCTAAAGTGCACACTTGGCTGAGAGCCTTCCTCTGTCCCGATGAGCTGGGCCATGCCGCCTGTGCTGTGGCCTCTGTGCGTGCTTCATTGTGCTGTCCTCATGTGCTATTCTCACATTGTGCAGTCACTGCTCTCTGGTCCTGACCTGCTCTACTTTGCGTTTGCAGGTCATCAAGACCCCCATGACCAGCCAGAAGACATTTGAGTCTGTGATGGACTTCACCAAGGCCCTGGGAAAGCATCCTGTGTCTTGCAAGGTAGCGCTTGGGAGGCTGCGGAGGGCTGATTCAGGACCAGGCCACTTCTGGGGTGTCCTGCTCATGTCAGGGGTGCCATGAGGGGCAAGATGGGCTTCCTTCCCGGTGCTCGAAAGCCAGCCCATGGCCCTGGCACTCCCTGACGTCAGGATGGAGCCTGGACCTCTTCTGAGAAGAGGTCCCACTCTGTCTGGGTCCTGGCTCTTGACCGTCATGGCTATTGGTCATAAATGGCTTGTGACCACTTCAGCTACAGCTTCTGTGGGGCCCCGGGGACCCCTGTATGTGGAACAGCCTAGTAGACACTGTGTCCCAAAGAGAACGCGGGGGCGTCATGTTTGGAACACAGGGCTGGTGCACAAGCACTAGCTCACAGGAGAGTCCTTGCTGCCGCAGCGTGACCTTGGCACAGGCAGGTAGGGAACCTGTATCCTCTAGGGGGCCCCCTGGGGCTTCCAGGGGCCTTTCTTGGTCAGTTACACTGGCTCTTAATGTGGCATGCAGGCGGTTACAGCCACACCTAGAACATACCTGGAGTGTGTGCCTCAGGGCCCATGGTCCGTGGGGTGGCCACTCACTGGTGCTGTCATGGGAAAGCTGCCCTCTAGCTCTGGCACTTATGAGCTGGGTAACCTTGGGCAAGTTACTCAGCCTCCCTGTGCCCATGTCTTCTACCTCACATGGAGGTAGTGGTAGTACCTGTGTCACGGGGTTCAACAAGAGGTGAGCTATTTCTTTTTTATTTCTTTTTAATTTTACATATTTTTTACGTCATTTTGCATTTTTACACAATGTATGCATTTTCATCAGGGTTATAGTCCCCATATAATTCCCACCCCTCTTGTTTTCATCTTACTCCCCCTTCCCCCCCACCATAGTGTGTCTCTGGTTTATAGTTGCTTGTTGATTTTGATTTTTACTCTATTATAGTCTTTTTCCTGGTCCCTTATTTAGGTTTTCTAAACTCTTGCTATGAGTGAGACCATCTGGTATTTTTCTTTTTCTTTCTGGCTTATTTCACTGAGCATGATCCCTTCCAGCGCCATCCACGTTGCTGCAAATTGCATGTTTATCTTTTTTGATTGCTGAGTAATATTCCATGGTGTATATGTACCACATCTTCTTGATCCAGTCATCTATTTTGGGGCATGTAGGTTGTTTCCAAAGCTTAGCTATTGTAAACAGTGCTGCTATAGACATAGGGGTGCAGGTGCCCTTTTGAATTAATGTTTCTGTGTCCTTTGGGTAAATAACCCAGGAGAGGGATTGCTGGATCATATGCCAGCTCCATCTTTAGCAGGTTGAGGAATCTCCACACAGTTCTCCATAGTGGTTGGACCAGTTTGCACTCCCATCAGCAGAGCAGGAGAGTTCCTTTTTCTCCACACCCTCGCCAACATTTGTTGTTGCTCGTTTTTTTAATATGTGCCATTCTCACTGGTGTAAGATGGTTTCTCATGGTAGTTTTGATTTGCATTTCCCTGATGACAAGTGATGTTGAACATTTTTTCATATGCCTGTTGGCCATTTGCATTTCCTCTTTGGAGAAGTTTCTTTTTAGCTCTTCTGCCCATTTTTTGACTGGATTATTTACTTTGTTTTTGTTGAGTCTCATCAGCTCTTTGTAGATTTTTGTGATCAGTCCTTTATCATTAGTGTTACATGCAAAATTGTTCTCCTAGTCAGTGGGGTGTCTCTTCGTTTTGGTTCCTGTCTCTTTTGCTGTGCAGAAACTCTTTAATTTGATGTAGTCCCTGTTTATCTTTGCCTTTGCTATCGCTGCTTTGGGTGATGTGTCTTTAAAGATGTTTTTGAGGTGCTTGTCACATAGTGTTTCGCCTATATTTCCTTCTATATATTTTGTGGTTTCAGGTCTTATGTCTAGTTCCTTAATCCATTTTGAGTTGGTTTTTGTGCATGGTGTGAGGTAGTAGTCAAGCTTCATTCTTTTGCATGTAGCGACCCAATTTTCCCAGCACCATTTATTGAACAAACTGTCTTTGTTCCATTGCATATTCTTTGCTCCTTTGTCAAAGATTAGTTGACCATAGATCTGTGGGTTTATTTCTGGATTTTCTATTCAGTTCCATTGGTCCATTTGTCTGTTCTTATACCAATACCATGCAATTTAGGTTATTTTGGCTTTGTAGTATAGTTTGAAGTCTGGGAGTGTGAAACCTCCATTCCCTTCTTTTTTTTTTTTTTTTTTTTTTTTTTTTTTTAGGAGAGCTTTGGCTATTCAGGGGTTTTAGTGGCTCCATGTGAATTTTATAAATATTTGTTCTTTTTCTTTGAAGACCGTCATTGAAATTTTTATTGGAATGGCATTGAATCTGTAGATTGCTTTTGGTAGGATGGCCATTTTGGTAATGTTTATTCTTCCAATCCATGAGCAGGGGATGTCTTTCCATTTCTTTGCGTCTTCTATTTCTTTTAACAGTGTTTTATAGTTTTCTTTGTATCGGTCCTTTACTTCTTTTGTTAGGTTTATTCCCAAGTTTTGTTTAAATAATAAAAGGGATGGTTTTCTTGATTTCTTCTTTTTCAGATTTATTGTTTGTGTATAGGAAGGCTACTGATTTTTGTGTGTTGATTTTGTATCCTGCTACTTTACTAAACTGATTGGTTAGTTGGATTAGTTTTTCTGTGGAGTTTTTGAGGTTCTCTATGTATATTATCATATCATCTGCAAATAGTGATAGTTTAACTTCTTCCTTCCCTATTTGGATTCCTTGTATGTCTTTCTCTTGTCTTATTGCTCTGGCTAGGAAGAAGTGAGCTATTTCTAAAGTTCTAGAACAGTACCTGGCACACGGTAAGTAAAGTGGAGTTAATATTAAGTTTGAAAAAGGTAAGGCAAATAGTCACAAAAAATTACATGGCTTTAGCAAAGGACGGAGTCTATTCATATCCACTAGTATTATGGGAGCCTCTGTCTCTGCATCCCTAACAGTACTGAGTGTTTTTATAATGGGGAAAAACCTGCATCAGTACTGTCATTGGCAAAATGCTGTCGTTCTAATGATTATTCTTTCAGTGCCAGTGAATATCAAGTGTTTGCTGAGTTTCACACTGTTTTCCTCATTCCAAGCTTTTTATGGGAGCTGATATTCTCTGCCTACACGCTGTGTCTCACCCCTGTAGAGACTGTTCAGTCTGTAGGCCCACCGCATGCACTGTGCCTGTGAACTTGGGCACCTTGTCCTTTGTTCCTGTGAGAAACTCCTTTGAAGCTGAGAAGCTCTTTCGCCCTCGCTATAAAATCAGCATTGTTTCCTTAGCATAGTCTTGGTCAAACTGAAGCAGCTCTTGTGTGTGTCTGTCCTGTGGAGGCAGGGGAGGGGCATTTCAGCTTGTCCAGAGTTCAGGGGGCCAGGTCAAAGCCCGTGAGGGTCAGCTCTCTGACCTCTGATGATGGCAGTGATGCAGGTATGAGGGATGGAGCACCTGTCTGTACAAGGCAGGAGCACGGGGCCCAGGGCTAGCTAGCGTGGGGGTTCAGCCTGCAGCAGGTTACAGTCTATTGATGAGAGGCCCCTAGTTCCTGAGTGGAATGATGTTACATGACTGCCACCCCCAAAATGGCCAACTTGGATAACTCCACAGCACCCCCAACCCCACCCCCAAATAGAAGGGGAGATGGAGTCCAGATCCCATACTAGGCCCTCCACGAGGATCCACTCTCTGGGTGGTGTCTGTGCAAGGCCAGCGTCCATCAAGGTCCCTGGCTGCTGGCCCGTTGGTCCTGCTCCCCTTCCCAACCCGTACTTACCCTGTACTGGGAGTGAGGAAATCCTGAGGAGCATGAGAAGGGTCGCAGCAAACCGGGGAGGTTGTGCTCTCTTGAGGGTTGTTGGTTCCTGAAAGGGAGGTGGGAGGAATGAGGAGAATGGGCTCCTGCTGGGGACTGGGTGAAGAGCCTGTGCTCTGTGTAGCAGCCAGAAGGTACTGGAATGGGGCCCACTGTGCCACCCTGAGGCCAATCCCTTCCCGTGACACCACTACCTTGATATGTCTTTAATTCAGGATGCCGCCCTGAGGACACTGAGTTTGATTTTTTTGTTGAAGTCCTATAATTGCTGGATGAGCCAGCATCGACGTGCAGGAGGGCGACGAGGCTGTGCAGGAACTCTAAACAAATTTTGAAAATGCATCGCTTGATGACAGAGAGTAGCATAGGCTTGTCATGTAGTGCAGACAGGAGAAATTCAGTGAAACTTGGCCTGCTTCTGTGTTTCTCTCTCAAACAGGATACTCCCGGGTTTATCGTGAACCGTCTGCTGGTGCCGTACCTCATGGAGGCCATCAGGCTGTACGAGCGAGGTAGGAGCCCAAGCTTGGCCCACAGCTTCACCCAGCTCAGGAACAGCGTTGCAGCTCAGAGAGGGTATGTCCTGGGTCCCGTGAAGCCTCCGGGCCCGGACCCTGGGAACCCACTTCCCATAGGCCAGCCAGAGCGATGGCATGGGCATCAATTTATATCGTGGGTCCATTACAATAACAGTAATGGAGAAATCATGGGCTAAGGAACCTTTAAAGTTCCTTAGGGTTGTGTGACGTGTGAGCAGGACCTTCCTCACACCCCTTCCGGCCTTACTGGGTAACAAGGAGGTGCCGTGTTTTTCACCGTAAGAACGGTCTAGAATGTTCTCCTCAATATTTGTTGGTCAACAAAGTGCTTTCCCCTTTTGTGGAAACATACAACCCAGCACCTGCAACGAGACCTTGGGTCATGAAAAAGGTGGGTCTGCCTTTCCGTCTGCCTTCCCGGCCCCTGTTCTGTGAGGGTCGCCGTGGGGCCACCCCACAGGCGCATGGGCCTCCCGAGGACAGGGTGAGCACCTGGCCTGCTTGTTCCAGTTACTCCTTGCTCAAGTGCTCGCTCCCGATGCTGTTGTTTTAGAAACAGCACGTTTCTCCCCGCTCCTCCCCGGAGATGAAAGCACATTTGCCTCCTCACAATCTGCTTTAAATATGAAAGCATCTCTGTGGTTTATGGAGGCATTGGCCTTACTGTGGCTCCAAGAGCAAACCGGCACTTCTGTGTTTATCTGTCAACAAACATGCCTAGTTACACCTCCCAGGAGGGGAAGTGTCTCCCCGACCTTGAAAGGCAGGTTGTTTTTGGTGTGATGTTCGGGACAGAGCACGTGGTGATCGCTCTTCCCCCGAATCAGCCGCTTGGCTCTGTTTTCCCACATGCCCTGTATCTGACCGTGAGCTGAGGGCGCTTTGCGCTTGCTCCCCCATGACCAGGGTCCCTCACTGCGCTCAGCAGGCACCCAGGGCTGTGGCTCCGCAGGCGCGCTGCGCTCTGACCCGTGTCTCCCCTTCTCCCTCCTCGGGCCTGCGCAGAGCTGGGGCTTGTTCTCTGGACTTGGGTGCTCCTGGCACTTGGCACAGAGCCAGTTTCTTCTGTTCTCTGTGTCTGTGGCCATCTCACCCCACCCCACCAGAGTACTGGTACAGCACAGGGGGTTAGGCCATGCTGGGGCTACAGGCTGCCTGGTGCAGCTGGGGTGCGTCCCACAGAGACAGACGGGAGGGTGCTGGGGAGCAGGGAGCAGCAGGTCAGGCCAAGAAGCTTTCCTTCATGTCCAGCCAATGGGGCTTTTACTCCCAGGCCAAAGTGGGGTTCCGTGCATGTGCCCTCCTCTCTGGAGAGGGTGTTGGCTCCTCAAGGATGTGTTCCCCTAAAGAAGGGTAGGGATGATACGGGTGAGATGCCACCCCAGTGACCCCCATTTGGACACTGGCCTCTGTTTTCTCTCTCCCGTTGCTTCTTCAGCTCTGAATGACTCTTAACAGAAATTTTAGTTGTGTAGACTTTGTGGAAGTATTTACATTTTTTTCGTATTATTTCTTCATACTAATTTTTGAAACCCAGGGGTCCTCAGGGGCACTCTGAATCTGCAGTTACAGCCTTGCCTCTAAGGCCACTGTCTGTCCTTGGCCGTCTGTGGCTAGAGGAGCTGAGGCGAGCGGGAGCCATTGTGCTGCGCCCCTTAGCAGAGGAAGCCATGGATATGTGAGACTGTGAATACCACTGGAGGGAACGGACTGGTCCTGACCTTGAGTCCTGAGTCTGTCTGAGCATAAACGCCACTCATCAGCTGCCAAGCTGTCCTCTCCCTGGTGGTGCTGGGGTCTTCCTGGGCCTGCCGCGCTGGCTCTGCGGGCAGTCCTGGCTGTTCAGATGCCCTCCTGTCACTGCAGTGCTCGTGTGCTGGTCCCGCTTGTCCTTGACAGTCCAGGTCTAGGTCATTTTTGCTCTTTGGTTTCCTGCTGCTTGAAACTCTGCTGCCAGGTCTTCTGGGTGAGTAGTCGGTGAAGCACCAGTAATGTCAGCTGGAAAAACCAGTTGGGATTTTAATGCCTGGATCGCCTTGAAGTCCTTGGGCCTGTCTCTGGTACCGCATGTGTTTGTTTTTTGTTTTTTGGGGTTTTTTTTGTAAAAAAATAACAGTCTCAGAGACATTCAAGTGGTTAATGTCATACATGCCTAAAATCTTAAATGTTTAGGTATGAAATTCTCTCAGTATCTTAACGTTTTCTCCTTTTTTTTAGCTTTGCATGAGTTACCTTTTCTTTATATTTTAGAACAAAATTCTACAGAGAGCCCCTTATTACAGAATGTCCCAGTTCTGAGAATAGGAACAGGCTGCTTTCTGTTAAGAACTTTCCTGGGCCTGGAACAATGTGTTAAGGGTAAAATTCGAAGGAAAAAGAAAATCAGCTCTTGTCTTCATCCACCTGAGACACTTTCAGATTCGCACTACAGTTCTGAAATCAGGGTTTAGCTTTTCTTTAAGCATCTGGTCTGAAAGGTTCACATGAATGTGATTTGCTGGGAATATTCATTGTTATAAAATCAAGAAAACCAGAAAGGAAGAATGTACATGTAATATCTGCAGCATATACAAAAACATAAAGCTTTGTTCTTTTATTAAAAACAATCAGAAAACCCCCATGTTTATTAAAAAGTAAGCTGTAGTTTTACATGCTGTTCTAGTAACTTCCTCCAGTTGGGAGGCCCCAGCCTGCTATAAGGTCAGTGATGCATCCAGGAGCAAAGAGCAGACTCACGCACAGAGTAGCTTGGTGGGACAGGTCCTAACATTGTGTGGCCTGTCCAGCACCAGGTCCCTCTCAGATGCGAGCTCGCCCGCGTGGGAAGTAGTATGGCTCCAGATGCGTTCTGATTGTGCCAACTTGTGAAAATCCAGTAATTCTGGGACTGGCCGCATGACAAGGAGAATTGAGGGAAATTAAGTGGTGACCCAGCGCTGCCCATTCTCCACAGGTGACGCGTCCAAGGAGGACATTGACACTGCCATGAAGCTGGGAGCCAGCTACCCCATTGGCCCCTTTGAACTTATTGACTACGTTGGACTGGACACCACCAAGTTCATCATGGACGGTAGGATTGGAATTCTCTGTTTTCTGCCTTTAATGGAGTGGAGGCTGTCTCTCTCACTTACCAAGTGCAATGCCTTTGTAAGCAGAAATGAGCAGGGATTTCGGGGGGCCATGCCCAGGCCTACCCCACCAGCGAAAGCTTCACACTAATAGGTGACAGAAGGGAACACGTGCCCATCTCATGTCTCTTCAAGGGTAACCTTTTTTTTTTAACTTTACATGTTGAAGTGAGTAGAGTCCTGGGAAAGAACAAAGTCAGCACAGGCAGGTCCCTGACCTTAGCATGTGCATCGATCGTTCTGTGTACCGTGACCACAGCCCAGTGTCAAAAGCAGCAGTTGACACTGGTCTACTGTCGTGTTATCTTAGGCTGATTTGTGTAGCCTCCGCCACAGTCAGGACACACTACCAAGTAGAGAGATGGTATCCACTTGGCTGCAGTGCCTGCAGAGACAGGGTCAGAGTGATCGCTAAGCCTGGATGACCGGCTGAATGTAGAGTGTGCCCTGATGGCCCACAGAGAACGCTTTTGTATCTGGAAGGAGCAAGGAGGGTTCTGGTTGAAAGATGCAAAACCCTGTGGTAGTGAAATCAGAGTTTTCACACGTTCTGCAAGTTGTTTACCCAGCCGATGACTGGGTTCTGTTTGAGCCCTTGGAGCTTGGCATCTGCCATTGCCCGGAAGGGCTTGGTGAACAGCGGGTTGGTGGTGCCGCTACAGCTGCCCCGTGGTCACTCCCGAAGGCCTCTCGCTCCCATGCTCTGTCCACAGCCTTGCCTCCCAGCACACCCTGCACCCCCCATTAGCACTCTCCCTGCTCTCCACAGGTTGGCATGAAATGGATTCCAAGAACCCCTTGTTTCAGCCCAGCCCATCCTTGAATAAGCTGGTAGCAGAGAAGAAGTTGGGCAAGAAAAGTGGAGAAGGCTTCTATAAGTACAAGTGATGCAGCAGCGGGCCGGGCAGAGCCTGCCAGGAGGTACCACCAGCTCCCCCAAGTGCCGGACGCCAGTGCTCACACTGCAGCCCTTCCACATGCTTTTGTAATCTATGCGAATTATCTACACTAGGTACAGTAGTAGCAGACTCCTCCATTGAGAACTAACTCCCTTTTTTAAGTCTACTTGTTTCTGTGTATTTTCTAAAAGGCTTTACACCCTGGGTGCCTTGGAGCAAACGTTTGAACCGAGTCATTTCCTTAAAGAATGGCTCGGGTGCATTCCCTGGTGAAGGGGAACGCCCCTCCTCCGGGAGTGAGCCATGTCCTCAGCGCCACGCGTGCCACAGCCGTCCACTCACGCCTGGGGGCTGCGGCTCTCCCCTACCTCTGCCCGAGGAGCGCCATCTCCCTGCAGCTTCAGGCCTCGCTGACAGCCTGGGCCGAGGTCAGGTGTCATGTGTTTACTCATCTGGACACCCTGCCAGCTGGGGGCAGAGTCTGTGTGGGCCTGGTGTGCAGGGCACAGTCGAGTCTGCAGTCTGAATGATCACTGTCTCTCGTCTTCATGAGAAATCTTTGCTGTGAACTGCCTACAAGAGTTGACTCTAATGACATGTAGTCTTTCAGTCTGTGAAAATTTGAATTGAAATAAACAAATGCAATAAACAAATTTTAAACCATCGTGTGCTCAGATGCTTGCCAAGGAGCAGGTCTCCCGGTGTCCTGGGCAGTGGGTGTGGCCCGTGGCCTGGTGGGCAGGGCCTGTGGGAGCCAGCACGTGTGTGTTCTGGCCCAGCCGTCTCTCCACGTTTCTTACCAGGAAAGCGATACTCAGGGCACAGAAAACAGCTTTTAAGGCACATCTGTTTCTTCTTTGCCAACAAAGAGAAATAGTGTAATATAAACTTCTTTTAATCATTGGCTTGAGAAAAGTTATCTCCCCAGATAGAATTTTGAAGCTGGAAAGACATCAGAAACCCCGCGGTCCAGCAACCACAGGAACAGCTGACGGGATGAGCCCACAGTCGCCAGGAATTTTGTAGCGGAGCTGGGAGTAGAGCTGGGTCTTGATGATAAGATTAAATATACGATAGCAAATTTGAAAATGTCAGCTTCAAGCCTCTAAACAGGACTGTCTGCAAAATAGGCATTCTGGGTCACCCTCTGAGTGGTAGATCTTTTTCCCTCTCTATTCATGATTGATGATTTTATTGTGATTAATGTTTTTTACTTGACTGACTACAGCACAGTGAGAAAATAATGTGTGCATATTTCTGCCACACGTTAGCCTGATTTAGGGAACTTCTAGACTCGCCTTATAAAACAGTGTAATGAAGAGGATGCTCTGTGAGGGCACTGTGGTTCCGTTGCTAAAGGTCCCTGTTCACTCCGGCTAGCTCTTGACCTTTAACACGAGTCCTGGGGTTAGCGGCAACTTCATTTCATTCCATTCTGGCCAGAACCCCCCAGAGAAGAGAAACCTTTATCTTGGAAATGGCATGGGTCTCCTTTGGCCATCGACTTGCAGGAAAGAGGAAGAACTCAGCCATGTCACCGTGGGGCTGCCAGGATCCTGTGGGGTCAGGCCTTTGGCCGAGGCTTTTCAAGCACATTGAGCCCACCAAAGTGTCAATGCTGATATCTGAACATTCTTTCATAATTTCCAGAAACACTTTCCCATCTATCACTGGGACCAGGAGGGAACTTTGAACACCCTCTTACCTGTGGGCCTGGACCCATGTCTGCATTCTGGTGAGCAGGGGCCTCCTCAGAAAGTCCTCTGCCTCCGGGGAAGGACAGGACTGGAGGGTGTCCTGGCCTCTCAGATGCGGCTTTTCACCTCCCCAGAGCTGCTGTCTGCTCCTCTAGACAGCAGCCAGAGCCTTTTCAAAAGTAACTGCTAGCTTTGAGGCCATCCTGACTTCCCAACTCTTAGTGGTATTTTTATTCCCATAGTAGAACTACAAATTTGGAGGATCAAAAGAAAATCATGCAATTGATGGCGAAGACAGGCTTGCTGCAGGGCCTCGCCACCTCCTGCTCTTCGGTCATGCTGAGCAGCTCGGGGCCTCTTCTGTGCTCACAGAGGTGTCTGTGAAAAACAAACTGGCCTTTCGCGTTCACAAGAATCACTGTTACTAACAGAATCTAAGGGAAATGGCGGGCTAGCTGCTCTGCCTTTCCTTGGAGCTTTTGTTTCGTTGGGGGGTGTAGGGTCAGTGAAAGGTGTCAGGTATTTCTGCCCTCCCCCCATTAGATTAAATGCCTGCCCGATGGCGGACACCTGGTGTAGGGCGTGGGCGTGCCTAGGTGGGCGCACCTGCGCCAAGACACTGGGCATATAAAGCCAGGACGGCAGAGGGCGGTGTGATGTGGCGTGGCGTGGTGTGGAGTACAGTGGAGTGCGGCGGCGAACATGAAAACAGCTAAAACGCCAGCTCGGCTGCTTGAACCAGCAGATGGGATGGTTGCATTACAGGGGCCTGATGTGGTGCCGAACGAAGAGAAGCTGAGCAGCTGGGGTGAAGAATGCTGGTACCGGACGGTCCCACAGCGGCTTGTGTCTCTAGTATGTTCACCAACATACTAGTGTCCACTGCAGGAGTTCTGTGGGGACTGACGCGCACGGCTTAAGCAACAGCACAGGAGGACGAGGCGTCTTCTGTCTTGGTTGGCGAGTTGCGTTTCTCACACCCTGGAACAAGAGTTTGTCTTGTCCCGCCTGGATTCCGGTCCCTTTGACCTTTCAATGGAAGTAACCAACTAATTAAATCGACCAAAAGTGCCAGGTGTGGCAGATTTGGCAGGACTGAGTTCTGTGTCAAGTGGGCCCTATGCTGCGTGAATAGTAACCCCCAAGCGCTTTTGCAGCGGATGCACCACTGTACTTTCAACCCATGTGGCTGTGTCAGTTCTAAGGTGAAATTTTGTTTTCTGGCAGAACGAAGCCTCCCTCCGAGGGGCAGAAAAAGCCAGCACTGAATTAAGGTCTAGCCAGGGTTCTGCTTGCAGCCTCTGTGGCGACTGCAGCCCTAATCAGTGGAAATGACAACAACCTGGGCCTGAGACGAACGCGGCAGGGCTCACGCGCTCAGCTCCCCGCCCTCCTGGAAGCCTGCGGGTGCTGGTCTTCTGGCCGTGCCTGGTGGGTGGGCAAATGCTGGGATTGTTGGGCACCAGACGATGTGCTGAGCGCCCTGCCCAGCATAACAGGTCAGTCATGACCCATCTCCATGCTGTGGCCCATGTTGGACTTCACAGCTCCGGCTGCCTGGAGGCTTACCCAGGCCGGCATGTTCCCCACCTGTGGGGAGTGGGCCTAGCACTGGGAACTGCCTGAGAGAGGCGGGCTGGCTGGTGGGGCCAGCGCCAGCCCCCTCCACCCACAGCGCTTGCCCAGAGGGGCGACACCCTTGCAAGCTGGCATCCAGAGCCGAGCAGGACAGACCGACGACCATGTTTCGGGGAGCTGCTGAGCTGGTCCTCAGGTAAGTCACCGTCTTTTTTGTGGAGGGCCGAAAGCCCCTGCAGCAAAGCAAGTGGGTAGCGGGGACATCCCTGGGGTTCTCCTTAGACTCGGTAACTGTGGCCTCTGGGCCCTCTGGGCACTGAAGGCACTGGAGGCGCAGTGTCTGCAGGGGTCGAGCCACTTCTGAGGCCAGTGAAGGGCATGCCCCCCGGGGAAGCCAGCCTGCGGGTAGGCCAGCGGGTATGAGAACGCTGCTGCTGCTTCATTCTCAGCAGTCACTGGACTCTGAAGTACCAGGTCTCTAGGACAGGAGACAGACGGCCCAACCCCAGTGCTGGGTGCTCAGACCCTGGCCCAAGGCGTCTGCTTCTGGGCGTGGAGCCCAAACGCCTCTGAGAGCTTTGCAGATTTGGGCCTTTGCTCTGTGGGGGGATTCCGGGTGCTCGGAGGCTCGGTGTCACAGCTGCAGGGGAGGGTGAGGATGGGGCAGCCACCCTCGTGTCCCTCGGCGGTGCTGGCCTCCAACCCTCCCGACTGCAGTCCCCGGGTGCACAATGCTTCCAGGGTTGCTGCAGGCCCGTCAGGCGCGAGTGGGGTGCCAGAGAGGGGCCGTGGCAGAGAACTGCACCCTGAAGGCCCTGTAGAAGGCAGAAACCCACCCACTGGCAGCCTGGCCTGAGGCCTCAGCCGCAGCCCCCCCCCCCACCCCGGGCGCTGTCTCGGCGCGGCGGCTGCGGCTGACACGGCGTTGGTTTTCGGGCCAGGTAGCATTCTTGCCGCTTCCGCCTCTGGTTGCTCTTGGGGGTCTCCTGTGTGCTGGTGGTTGTCTTTTGTTGGGAGAGTGGTTTAGAGCAATGCCTACATGCTGGGCGCCCTGAAGGTCAGAGCATCCCATCTGGGGGCTGCATTGCCAGCCCTGTGGGGCCTCTGGCACTCTGCACCCCAGGTGATCACTGACAGCGCCCCTCCCGAGAGAGCCGCAGTCTCAGGGGAGCGGCCGAGGGGAGAATAGCCCCTCTTGTGCAGAGTACAAGGGCCGGGCCTCCGTCTGGGGCCAGGCTACGAGGAGGAGTAGCCCCAGTATGTGGGGACCTCAGCGTGGGCACAGGCCCTTTCTGTGCAGACGCTGGCGTGGGAGTTGGATGGGGGTGCGGATGCGGCCCCCTGGGCTTTGAAAGCCCCGGTGAGCACTCAGACCTTGCTGGTGAGCGCTGCGGGCAGGCAAGCCGGGGCTGTGCCTCGGCCCCTCCTCCGGAGGTGGCTGTGAACTGCCCAGCGGCCTGGGGCGAGCAGTGGGCACTTGTCTCCACTGTACCTTGCTGGCTTCCTGCCGTGTGCCATCCACTCAGACCCTGGTCAGGCACGAGTCAGTGCGTTCAGATCCGGAGACAATCAAGTTGAAGACGGAAAAGAGAAAATGACTCATCTCCTAATTCCCCCGTGACTGCAAAGGCAGACAGTTAAGATGGGTGATGACGTCTGCCACTTGCAGGCACTTTTCTCTTTCCATCTGCGAGTAATACCCTTCCTACCTATTTTCCCCCCGTATGTGTTTTTTTTTTTTTTTTTTTTTTCCCCAGGGAAGCTCTGGTCCAAAACTTCCCGTATGTTTCCAGGAGGTCAACATTAATGAAATGAATGAATTTATTTTTGTTCAGAATATGAAATACTTTTTCCCTCTACTGAACCCTGCCAAGCCCACACCCCACCTGCCTCTCTCCCCAACCCGTTCCGCCCTGTCTTCTATCCCTCTGGTAACCATTATCATTTCCCCCCCACTTCAGATTTTTACTTCTTCTATCATTTCCGTGTAGTTGTTTTTTAGGTATTTTATATTCAGCAAATGGGTGAAACCATCGAAAATCTTTGACTTTTTGGCTGATTTCACTCAGCTTAATCACCTCAGGGCGCATCCAGTTTGTTTGAAAGGCCCCCGGCTCGTCTTTCTTCACAGCTGGGTAATACTCTGTTGACTAGATGCTCCGCGGTTCTCTCCATTAATTGGTTGACGAGCACCGGGGTTGGTGCCATGATCTGGCAGTTGTGAATGCTGCGGCTATGCGTTTAAGGATAGATCTTTTCCTGTTGGCTTTTTTGTGTTGTTTGGATAAATACCTAATTGTGCTATTGCTGGGTCAGATGTGATTTGCATTTTGTCGTCTTGAGAGATGGCCATCGCGTCTCCCCCGGGGGCTGTGCCAGCTTGCATGCCCTGCGACAGTGCATGAGTGTTCC